AGATAATTAGAATTGAGTTTGATTGTTTCTAGGGCCTAGAATCTCCTATGAAGAAAAGCCTTTGTATTTTATTACATAGTAGAGATTTTGAATTTTTTGTAAATACTCTAGATTAAAATAATATCATAAATTTTGTTTAGAATTTTTAAGGAGTGGTATTAAATGTATGAGGTGAGAATTTTAATTTGGAATTGATAAATTATGAGCACTTATTTTTAGAGACCAAAGGATGTGAAAAAGTAGTTTTGGGATTCTGAAATAATTCAGAAAAACCCCAATCTACCATTTATGTTGGGCTTTAAATTTTGGGTAAGAGAAAACTTTAATTTGGGTTGTTATTTTATTGAAAATTTGGGATTAGATTCCCGATATTGAGGACTAATAATTTTGGGTCCGCCCGAATCCTAAATCTAAGTTGGGCACTAAATGATAGTAGCCCAAACTTAATTAATGAAATACAAATACGAGCTTACCTCATTTTGGATTGGAGTGTCAGCTAAACTACCTAGGTGCTATCAAACCATATATCCAGTCTTATTAAATATTGTTAAGCTCAATATTTATGTTTTTGAAAATTTGGGTCTGATGTCTAAAGAAGGTGCTAATTGGCCCCTTTACTTATGTAGGGTGATTATGCTTAATGCAATTAAAACTTTGTTCACTTTTAGTTAGTTTCTAATATAGTGCATGCTAGTTGACTCTTATATGCAAAAATCATAATGATGAACTTTAAAATTTTGACATTGAAAATAGATTTTTTCCAAGATATGCATAACAACCTCTAAACAGAGATGCACACTAATTTGTCAAGTTGTATGCAATGAATTATAGGCGAGGAGGAGCCTTACTAGGAAAGAAGAGAATATGAATGCATGAAAAATCCTAGGCATTCCTCGGCATACTTCTTAGAAATCATTTATCTTTATATTTGAGTGTAAAGCTTTTATTTAATTACGAGCAGAAAAAATTTTGTGTTGTCCTTATGAGTCTAAATGCACTTTTCAGGTTGAAGCAATCATGCATTGATGAAAGAAACCTAAAAAAACATATAATTTCAAAAGCACAAGCAATATAAACACATCATCAATCATATTGTATCAAATAATTATAAAGTCCATGTGGCAAGTGCTTGTTAATTTATAACCCAAAGTTTATAGAAATTGAAAACGGTTGGAGTACCACTTATAATAACCTGGATTCTTCCTATAGAATGATGCATGCATTTTAAAATGGAATTTATTTGGTCTTCATTTATATTAATTCTTTCTTTTAGCTCCTTGGACCCATCGGGTTCAGATATCCAAATGAAAAAATCCTCCCCGAAGAGTGTTTCTTTTCTCCTTAGATTTTAAATCATCTTAATCTAAATTCCTTAATGAAAGAATGCTCCCATAAAGCACAAGAAATATAAACACATCATTAATCATATCATATTAAATAAATATAAAGTTCATGTGGCAAGTGATAGTTAATTTACGACCCGGAGTCTGTAGAAATTGAAAATGGTTGGGGTACCACTCACACTAACCTGAATTCTTCCTATAGAATGATGCATATATTTTTAAAATGGAATTTATTTATATAACTTCATTCTTTTAGCTCCTTGGAACCATCGGGTTCATATATCCAAGTGAAAAAATCCTCCCCGAAGAGGTTATTCTTTTCTCTTTGGATTTTCAATCATCTTAATCTGAATTCCCTAATGAAAAACTCTCCCATAAGGTATATTTTCTTCCACTTTGTGTTTCAGAATGGATGTTAAATATCCCATTTGAAATAAACTTTTATAGCTATTTTGAAATTAACATATAAAAAAAAAAAAAAAAGAATCATCCATAACCCGCACTTTGCCTAGATTAGTTCATATAAAATCAACAAAAGAAATCCCAAGCAGTTATAGAAAATTCATAGCTTACATTTGATCCAATAATTGTC